TGTCCTTTCAAAGCCTCATATTTTTTTTCTCTGACCGACTTTCTTTTTCTTTTCAGCTACCATTTATTGTAAAAGAAGTAAAATAAAGTGGTACTAAGTATTTGACGGAAAATTTTTTGGGATTTTCTTTTCTCTTTTGATAGATTTATAAATTTGTCATTATCTATTGGAGTGATGTAAAATAAAATTGATACTTTAAAATGAAATATAAAAAAAATTATAATTGAGAGTACAAAGTGAAATAAAAAAAATAGTTTAAGAGAATTATGAGAGAGAGACTAAGAGAGAGAGAGACTGAGAGAGAGAGAGTTACTTGGCGTGACGTTCAAGGTGTTCTTTTTATTAGAGATTGAAAAAATAGGTGGGAAAAATTTATTAGATTATGTGTTTAGTTCTTTTACACAAACATCTATATAATAAAATAACTTATAATTCAAATTTCAAAAATAAACAAAATGACTGTTGTTATTTGCGATTGAGATTACTTTAAATTTTACTTTAAAGTTAATCTAACGACTAATATTAACACCCTAAATTTAATTAAAAAAATATGACTCTAAGGAAGTGTGTTGGAATGAATTTTTAAAAGTATTTTTAAGAATTATTTCTCATAAGTACTCAAAAAAAAATAGTGTTCGAAACCGTCCAACCACTACCTTTACTACCACCGCCGTCGTTGCCACCCCACCACCGTCGCCGCCATCACCACCACCCCCACCACCACCACTACCACTACCACTACCACTATCACCGCCACCGCCACCATCTCTGTCACCGTCGTTGTCGCCACCACCACCACCACCACAATTACCTCTCAGTCCCATTACAAATCGATACTTAAATTTATTTACCTCTTTTTTTTAGTTTGTGATTTAATTTTGAATATAAATATAAATATATTTATTATTTATTATTTATTAGTATTTTATATTTTCGGACACTGACAATAACTGGTCCTTAAATACCTTCACTAACTTTACTTTGCATCCACAAAATCAAGCCGAGTCCAAAACCGCCCACATTATTTAACAATCTTTATCTCCATCCCTACTCTAGTAATATTTTAAGAGACTGTATCCTTATCCAGTAATATATTTTTTAATCAAACCAACATTACTTTTATATCATTTCCATTTGATTTTGACAGCCGACTCAGAAATATTTAATAACTCTACTTGTAATTGACTCGAAAAAATTTGGAAACGTCCCCTCCATCCTTATGTTTGTACTTTACGAGGAAAAATGATTGACATCCATTGCCATTGAACTAATGATAAACAAATGACAATTGACAAGGTGGTGGGGGCAGTCTTTTAAAACTCGGCCTGGTCCGGCGGGTTGACCCGATAATTCGGTGAACCAATCCCCTAATTAGATCGATTTTGTAATTGGACCGTTTGAGCAAAGAATTTGGAATAAAACCGGTGAACTGATCAAAAAATCGGTAACCCGTGAAAACCGGACCGGGTTTACAAAATCGGCCGGTTTTGTTCATTTAGTATAAATATGTTTTTTTTTTTATATTTTTGTGTCTTTTTGTTTTCTCCTAAATTCTAAATCATTCGTTCAGTGTTTGTTAACTCAAAAATTAAGTGAATGCAATTAAGTGATTCAAGTTTGAGGGTGGAGGCTGGGCTGTTAATTGAATGCAATTAAGTGATTCAGGTTTGATAACTTTGTTTGATTTAATATATATTAAACATGTTATTTTTATAAGTATTTTAATTTTTTAGTCTATTTATCATCATGAATAATTATTTTTTATTTTTTTATTATATCACCGGTTCAACCAGTGACCCAATAGTTAAACCAAAAATCTATTGACCCGGTTCCTTCTCCGGGTTGGTGTCCGGGCCGAGTTTTAAAACTATGGGTAGGGGTACTTCCAGAGTGTCTTTCCTTTAGGCATTAAGAGAGAATGTTGGATAAAATAATGTCTGATTTTACCTTATTTTATTTATTTAGATATATATTTTGGGTTCGATATTATTATTTAAAAATATTTTTAATCTGGATAAATTGAATTTTTAAACCCATATATAACTTCTTAAATAAACTCATATATAGTCCAATTGGGATATGTTTTGCCAAAATATATTTTTACTTTAAAGAATCTCTATGATATAATTATTTTGAGGGTTCTTTAGTAATTTAATGTTTATATTACCATTTAATACTTAATCCAAATAAAATATTAGATAAGATAAATGTGTGGTCTACTACTTTTTAATACTTGACCCAAGAGTGGGACTTAAAAATCTGACATAATGATGTGGTTTCATTGGAACCCTTGAATTAATACCAAGTTCTAATGTTTGATGGAGCCCGCAATTAATCCAAAAGTCATAGTAAATCTATATCATTATGTCAGCAAATTATGTCAAATTTTTAGATCTCAATAACATTACTCTTTGACCCTAATATGACATATAAAAATATTATCACTATAATTAGTCTAAGAGTTGGATAAATGCGTATGGAATAGACGAATTTATCCGATCTCCCCCTTTTTAACGCCTAAATCAAACACATTCGAAGGGTGTGTTTGGCAATCACTTACGAAATTGGACTGATCTGGATTTAGTATTCAAACCGATCCAATGAAATCCAGAGTAATCCAACCAAAAACTTTATTTGAATTGGAAAATTTGGAATCGTGGACCCCAATGCCATGACCAAATAAAGACCATTACCACATTTGCAATAAAAATAGTTTTTAATTCTATACCAAATTTGGATGGGTTGTTATGGTGGATAAAATTAGTTTGGAAAAATATTTGAATGAAAACAATCAATAATAATAATATTGATTGTCATAAAATAAGTTTTACTTATTTCAAAGTGAAATTATAATTTTTAGCATATTATATGAAATTTAAGAAATTATAATATTTCAATATTGTTATATCTGTTGGTTTAAAGACACAAGATCGAACGGTGCGTTAAAATTTTTCATGCACACAATTTATGACCAAAATAGCCGAAGTTACATTTTTATGTATAAAAACAAACAACAAAGGATGTGATTGTAGTTTTTCAATTAAAATCAAATGGCACATGAAATAGATTTGAAATAATTTACAACATACTCGAAGCGTAGTGCTCGTTCGAAGACCCAAAAAATACAACATAACCTTGTACTCAAGAGGGGTATAACCGAATTTCTCATCCTGAGATTAGATGTTTGAGTCTTGGAGTATACATTGGAGTTCGATGGTTTATTATTATGCTAGTTTAGTTAGATTCATTTTCAAGAGGAGTAACGAGCAAGATTAAGGCCCTCATTATCTCACTAATGAGGTCTTATCAGAGTTAGCCAAAAAAAAAAACCACGTTACAACTTTAATTGCTAGTTTAGAGATCTCAAGGGGGGCATACCTTTGAGCACGCGGCAGTTCGCAACTCAAGACAAACCAGTGCATTCAGCTGAAATATGATTGAAGTGAGTAAAAACCTAGTTAATCTTGTCTTTTACTCTTTTTTATTGTATTAGATTGAATTATTTTATTTAATCCGTCTATTTTTAATACGACAATCAAACGAGTCTAAAAAATTATTGTATAAGGGTGTTTATGTAAATTACTCAATTAGTCTGTTAAGTAGGTTGCAAATCTCATACTTCACATAGGTTATGTAGCATAGAAGGGATATTTTCCTCTAATTCATACGACCTGACTTTTCAAAGCCAACAATTATATTTTTTACAATTGTCTTGTCAAATCAAAGATAAGTGAACTCTAAGATAATTTTAACTCACACCCCCTTCTTGTTCCCCAAATCCGGTGATCCAAATTAATTCAAAAATTTGGAGTCCCTTGGTAACGTTTTTACTTTTATTTTTTTGTTAGAAAAATTTAAAATATAACACATATTTGGTAGTTATTTATTTATATTTATATCTGTATTACCTATAAATGTCAACATCTCCCAAAATTTTTTGATTTTCTATTTTATCTTTAATTATTATGATAAAGTCTATTATACTAATCTATATAGTTTCATCTAATTTATCTTTGTTACATCTATTTAACTTTTAACTTATTTTAAACTTTTTTATAAGTACTTACAAATTTTTTGGAACTCATTTATTAGTAGTACAATTACATACAATTATCTATATTTATACGATAAAGTAAAATCTTATATGCGTTAAATTATTATACACTTGTAGTCATCAGGTTGAATATTATAATCTAATATATGTTATATTTTACTTTTTGGTATGTAATAATATTATAAACTATCTAATCAATCAATTTAAAAAATAAAAGTTACTAATTCTATAATATAATTAGATATATAAATACTTAAAAGAGTCAAAAAAAAAAAAAACTTATATAATAAATTAATAATTAAATTTAATAGTAACCCATAACCACACCCACTGTTTAGCCACCACCAACCACCGAACATTCACCACCCAACCCACCACTAACACTACCGAAAACCCACCACCCAACCCACCCAAAACCCACCACCAACACCAGTCCACCACCACCGATACACACAGACACACATATGCATACACAAAAACATGTTGAAATCAACAATCAGAAAACAGAGATGAAGAAAAATCCCTAAATCTGCAAAAATGAAACTTAGATTTGAAAAAAATTGGAAGGGCTCGTTGCTGGAGAGAGCTTCGCCGATGTAGAGAGATCCCACAGAAGGCTTCGCCAGATCCCACGGACCCGAGGGAGAGAGATCGCTGGAGCTGGAGCCTGAAATGCTTCATGTGAAATACTGTGTGAAATGCTTCTTGGCCTTTTACAGAGTAAGATAAAAAAAAAAAGGTTATTTTGCTGGGAAGAGGATTCGAAATCTAGACCTTATTAAACGAGAGTTGGACAGTCCGCATGTTTTGACTTTTTTATGTTTTTAAAAACATCTTTTTGAATGTTTTAATCTTATTTTTAAAACGGAGTCGATAAAAAAAATACAAAAACATTCACCAACCTTTTAGTCGAAGTTATCATACGTAGAAATTGAAAAGCTCTCCAATGGCACCAACACCGGCATCACCAGCAGACCATAATCGATCTCAGGTACTGGAGGTCAATCCCAGAAGCTACATGAATCCACTACTGCTCTTGCGAGTCCTTCTTCTGTTGCTCTTGTCCGACATAATCGTTTCACACTCCATCATCAAGAGTCTACCGGGCTTTACCGGTGATCTTCCATTTCAACTTGAAACTGGGTAAGCTTTTTCTCCCTTTTCCATTCCGATAAGATTACGGTGCCAGTACTGGTACCGGAACCGGAAGGTTAACTGTTTTATTGGTAGAGGATTGGATTTGGTATTAAAAATCAACTTTTCGGTATGGATGTTATTTTTCATCTAACAACGAGATGAAGAAAGTTTTATCATTTTAATATTTTGTTTTATTTTACAATTTTTTTTAATTCTCTTAACTAATTCTCGCACCGATAAATATAAATATGTATTCAGTATTCACATTTAAACTTTTTTGGAACTATACGAAAAATGAAAGATTTTTTTGAGTAATTTATGGTCATTCATCAATAAAATAATAAAATTTTACACATGTCATTTTTTCACTAGCCAAAAAAAAAAAATAGTTTTTGGGGTAAATTACATCTAGACTCCATAGAATTTGTCACTAATACACACAGACCCCTTTAGATATGAAAAATAACATTGGCATCCCTTTAAGTTTGAGATGTGGTAACGTATAAATTTCTACCGTTAATGTCTGTATAAAATACCGTCCATCGAAATGATGTTAGCATATTTACATCACACAATCCCTAAACTACCCCTTAAATAACCGGGTCACTAACCTCCCACAAATCCCACCATATTTTGTGCATAATATTCATTAAAAACCTCCATAAATTTAATCAAACATTACCCCCACCTCTCACCATAACAGACCACTGAAGTCTGAACTTCGCTCCCAGACTCCCACCCGCCAATCCCACTGCACAACTAGGAATCATAGCCACCTCGACTAGCAACAACAACAATCACACCACAACTACAAGCAACCATCGGTCTACAGCCTCAATTCACCAAATCCAAAAAAACACAACTCAACCCACCAAATTGGCAAACACCTCAGCCCTCCTCTTTGGAGAAAGGAGGAGACGGATAGTCAAGAGGGTTTTTCAACATGTCAATGAGAGATGGGGTGGTGTAGAGAGAGACACAACTAGGCTTAAAAGGGCATTTTATGCGGAGGAAGGAGCCGGTTGGACATGACACTTGATGAGCCCAGAGTTTAAGAGGTCAAGCCTAGTTTGTGAATTCGACCAATCCGAGAGCCAAGGGGTCCATGAAAAATAAAGCACGTAGGAGAGAGATCATCAAGATGGATACACAGGAATTAATTATAACTATTCTTCCGAAGAATTAGTACTCTCACACTCACGTCACTGCCTCACCATACCTATAAATTGTAAATTCTCTCCACATGATAAGACACATCTTGGCATCTCACCACACCTCCCTATACAGACATTGCTTCTATCTCTTAACTATTGTATTTCTTTCGGAGCACACCTCTCCTGGAGTTTTCTCTCTATTACTTTATTCATCAACAAAGACCCCCCGCTATCGCTACCGAACCACTATATTTCTGAATGTTGACTTCATATTTAAATTACTGCTATTGATTGCTTTATTTATTGTCTATTAATTACATTTCATCACACTCAACTGTTAATCTTGTACGAGTTAGTTTTGTGTATCATCAGTAATCTTGCCAAAGGATCATGCAATGGAGGCGGGAGGGAATAGTGAAGCAACAGATGGAGGAGAAAGGCAAGATTGTGAGTTTTGGGACTTGTGTGTGTGCGTGAGAGAGAGAAGAGAGAGAGAGAGGGCATGGTGGTTGCTGAGTGTGCGACGGTGGGGTGGGTATCGGGGAAGATGAAGTGTAAAGGCTTCGGTTTATTTATGGGTTTAGGGCTTTGTTTGGACATGGGTTAGAAATATTCTTTGGTTGGGCTTAGGTTGTTTAGATGTTAATTTTTCTTGGATAATGGGTAGGGCTAAAATGTTATTTTTATTATTTTCGTCAGTGTTGTTTTCAAACAGTTATTGATAAGAGCAATGTTATTGAGATCTAATTTATTGATTTAATTTGTTGACCTAATTCACTATGACCTTTAATTGACTGTGGGATCCATCAAACATTGAAACTTGGTGTTAATCTAATGATTTTGCTGAAACCACATCATTATGTCAGTAAATTATGTCAGATTTTTAAGTCCAAATAGTATTACTCTATTGATAAGAGGTGTCACTGTAAATTTCCATATCTGAGGGGGTCCGTGTCTATTAGTGACAAACTTTAGGGGGTTTAAGTGTAATTTATCCTAATTTTTCAGCAATATTATTTAGTCGTAATTTATTACCCTAATATACAAACTTAATTCAATATAACCGTTGAATTGATTACGAGTCTCATCAAATATTAATCCAACAATTACAATGAAACCACGTAATTAAGTCAAATTTTTATATTTAAATAGTATTACTCATAATCTCCTGGAAGATCTACGAAATAAAATTATTTTTAAATATAGTATCGAAAATTAACGATTTAGTATCATAGTATTATTGGGTGGTAGAATATCAAAAGTTATTATGAAGTCACGACTCAATTGAATAGACTTTAGATTCATCCAAATGATGTGTGAATTATCTTTATTATTATCAGTAGCGAACTAACAGGGGAATTACGATGATTTTGGGTGAAGTTATATTGGTGTTGGAGAATCAGATGAGGTGCAGTTATTCTACTACTTTTTTGAATCAGAAAGGAATCCGACAGATGACCCTCTCATCCTTTGGATAGCTGGTGGTCCGGGTTGTACTGCTCTTCGTGCCGCCTTCTACGAAAACGGTACATTTTGGTGCTCTTTTATCTTAAGTTCCTAACTACTTAAAAAGTATACACAAATACATACAATTCTTCATTATTTATCTTTTACAACTCGCATATTTCTCACAGTCTTCTAATATCACTAATCTAAATAAATTTACATTAAACTAAAGATTTGGTATACATTCCTGTGTCCTTTCTAGTCAGCTATAAAATCTTCAAACCTATGTGTGGATGGAAATTTTTCAATAGAAAAAGGATTGCTTGAAGAAATAGTATACACAAATACATACAATTCTTCATTATTTATCTTTTACAACTCGCATATTTCTCACAGTCTTCTAATATCACTAATCTAAATAAATTTACATTAAACTAAAGATTTGGTATACATTCCTGTGTCCTTTCTAGTCAGCTATAAAATCTTCAAACCTATGTGTGGATGGAAATTTTTCAATAGAAAAAGGATTGCTGGAAGAAATAGTCACAGGCCCACAAGTTTGAATAGGTTGGAAGTAACACATCAATAATGAAGTACTAAAATTGACTTCATCAACCAGAAGGAAAATAAAGGGAAAATTATAAGTTAACCCTCTTGTAATTTTACCCATTTTAGTATTACCTCGTTATACTTTTAAAACTGCACATAACCCCGTAGTAATCGTATGAACCAGCATGAGAAGTTAGATTTTTCATCCCACTTCCATTAATATGTATAGAAAATCTAATGATTCTAATTTGGTCTAAAACTACTTGGGATTATGTGTAGGTTTTTAAACTATAAAGAGGTAATTTGTAACTGGGTCAAACCATAGTTAGGGTGTTTTGTAATTTGCCCAAAAAAAAATTATTAATTAAATAATGTAGCATTTCATAAGAATTCCAATTTTCTATGGCATGATTTTTCCTTATTGTATGTTGGGAATTAATCGAGATAAACATGCAATAGAGCGTAGTTAATATTGGGATGATTAGTAAAGAAGGTTTGGTCTATGGGTGGAATGGAATCAGGATGCTATCTTAATCATAGATCACCCATGAACAAGATTTTGAAGGGTAAATAAATCATTTCCTCATTAAAATCTCTTATTCTTATCATCATTTTGTTTTGATATAACTTAGGGTGTTGAATGAAATTTACCCTTATTTTTAATTGGAAATTGTTTGATGTTTTTACTTTCCTTTGTAGGCCCACTTATGTTTAACTATGCAAATTCTAGTGGCAACATACCAATACTGGAGTTGAACCCATATTCTTGGACAAAGGTGTTAAATTTTACCTCACTGCTTGTTATGGTAAAATACGGAATTAACTGTAGTGACTCTCTAATTTCTCAAGTAGTGCAAATTATTATGACTTTATAGGTTGCCAACATAATATTTATTGATCAACCGGCTGGCTGCGGATTCTCCTATGCAAAAACATGGAAAGCTTATGAAAGCAACGATACAATATCAGCAGCACTGAATTATGATTTTCTTAGAAAGGTGAGAGAAACGTCTTGCATGGACTTCTCTTAAAACCCCTAGTTAAGGGGGACCAAACTGGGTGATGGCAAATGGAACTAATAAAGATGTTTATTCAATTTTTGGATTGTGATGCAGTGGCTTTTGGATCACCCCAAGTTTCTCAAGAATCCACTATATATATGTGGCATTTCCTATATTGGCATGGTTATTCCAATCATTGTTCAGGATATATATGATGGTATGTATGGTTGTTGAGACTCCTTTATTTTCAAGCTAAGCTTCATTTTGTTTCCAGAGGAAACCAAAATATTGAGTCACATAACAAGAAATTTGAAACAGATTACGTGACGTTGATTTAGAAAACTGGTTTGTCAACAGGAGAAGAAACTTGCAATGATGCCCTTTTCTGATTTGTTTCACAGCCTTTTTTGAGTCTCCAACCGCAGATAGCATTCTGATTTTTCTCTTCACTAGTGTTTGCTCATTACAAAAATTGGAAGGCAGAGATTTTCAGTCAGACCAAGTTCTTCATTTCCGCTCATATCGTGGATTTTCATTCCTTTTTCCACTTTTTTTTTGGTGTTTGTAGGTAATGAAGCTGGAAATGAACCACCAATGAACATTAAAGTACCCGATTCTATAAAAGATTTTGAATGGGCTGAGTTACATTTTATTCTGTCCTGATTTATCATGTGTTCTTGTTTTGAGATTCTACAGCAGCACTGAATTTTATTGTCTTTGAATTGGATTCAGGGATACATGCTTACCAACCCTCTAACTGATAAACATGGTGACGTTAATTCAAGAGTTCGATATGCTCATCATATGTCACTTTTATCTGATGAACTGTACGAGGTAACTACCTATATTTTGCGTGAGTTTTGAGTTTTTTCAACTTCTCTACACTACCAGGTCAAAAGGACCCTAGGGAGCCCATAAAAGGTATCTAGTACAACCCCCTTTTTCCATAGGGTTGAGCATAATTTATTCTGTATAGGTGAGTCCATTAAAAACCATGAGAGCTAGATAAGTTGGTTGACAGTCACTCACTATAATTAGAGGTGTTAAGTTTAATTCTATTCTAAGTGTGGCTAAAATATGAGCGGAAAAACTAGAAATGAGAATATTCGTGAAACCATAATATCAAAATGAAAAATAAATAAAGAGAGAATTTTCTAGTGATTTTGACATATTTATAGAAGACCTATTGTTGTACTAGTAACAATGAGTGCTTTGATGCCAACGGATAACAATGTGAGAGGTTACATCGCGATAAACTTTGAATGAGATAATAAGAAAAGTTGTGATGGTTTGCGGTTTAACACCCTTTTTTGGAGCACAATAGAGGACTATAATTAATGTAGCCGATCTCAAATAGTTTGTATAAGAATGTGTCAATTTGAGTTTTATGTTTATTACGAAGGCACGATTCTATATGTAATGTTTTGTGGATATTCAGTCAACCAAAGCAAACTGCCATGGCGAGTACATCGAAGTAGATCCCAACAACGGATTATGTGCAAGTGATCTACAACTAGTAGACAAAGTGAGCAAGATTTCTTCATTGGTTTTCATAATATATGCTGTCATATACAATATTTACTGGCATTAAGAGGTTTCACCATTTGATTGTAGTGCCTCGAGAAAATTAATTCTAAACAGATTTTAGAACCCTTGTGTGAGGCAACAGTAGCAAAACCAAATTTGCTGAGATGGGACAGAAGCTCTCTTGAAGAGAATCCCATTGATCTCATGTGGTCGCTACCTCTACTTCCACAACAATGGTGTCGAGTAATCCTCCTCCTCTTCTAATACATAAAGTTATGTGTACTTTGGAGAGACATCTATTGATTTGCCAATTCTCAAAATTATATTAACAACCTGATCTTTTAATTTTTGTAGAGCCATGGTTACCATTATGTCACTGTTTGGGCTAATGACAAAACTGTCCAAAACGCTCTTCACATTCGTGAGGTACCTGTAATCTAACGAGGACCAATATCACATTTGATTGTATTTCATCAATCATTTTACTGTGACATGCAGGGAACGATAACAGAGTGGGTGCGATGCAATACAAGCATAGAATACTCTTTTGGTGAAAGTGCAACCGTATCTTACACATTCAATGTCCCTAGCACTGTTGACTATCATCGAAATCTAACAAACAGAGATTGTCGAGCTTTAATAGCCAGGTAATTCAATCACATAATTTTCTTTATTCCTGTTCTTGTTGCACCTTTGAATGAAGTTCATCTATTAGTCACAAGTACATAAACGGCCTTTTAGGCGTTTTTAAATAGGCATCGTATCAATAGAAATAATTGAAAAAGGGATCAAGAAAAGACATTGTGATTAGGTATCAAAATTGTGTTCCTCCCGCCCCCCACCTCCTCCCTAAAAAAGAGAAGGAAATATTATTCTTATATCTTAAGTTTTTATCTTCCAACAGTGGTGATCATGACTTGGTTGTTCCACATCTGGGCACAGAGAAATGGATAAAATCTCTAAATTTGACAGTCGAAAGTTGTTGGCAACCGTGGTTTGTTGAAGGTCAAGTAGCAGGGTGAGTTCCTCCACCCCTGGGATTTTTTGCCACATAAACTTGAACAGGTTTAAATTTTTAGTAACTAGATATTACAACTTGTGTTTTGCAGATATACTGTATCTTATACACACAATGACTATTCATTGACATATGCAACAGTCAAGGCATGTAATTTTTACCTTTTAACCTATATCTCAAATAGTGGATTCATAAAATGAAAAACCAACATTAATTATGTCATCGTATTTGTATAGGGAGCAGGTCACATGGGTCCAGAGTACAAACCCAAAGAATTTCTAGCCATGATTGATCGGTGGTTTGCTTACTCGCCTCTCTGATCAACAATAGCAGCTCCCAATCAATTCAATCGTCTTCAGTGCCACAGATCTCATGGAATTGGAGCCACAGTCCAATACTATATAATAAGCTGCTGCATCTCAAAGCATTTGTTAACAAACGTCCACTTTCGATTATTTAACAAAAAAAAAATGGGGTGCAACTGTAAGTTTGTCCCACTATGTCTGTATTCGGTGTCACGTGTTTAAATTATGAAAACTTTTATGATTTTTTTCTAAGTCACTTACTTGTAGAAGTGTTACCTACTAGATTGTCCATGCTTTTGTGTTACGAAACTTTCGGGAATTTTTGAAAATTTACCCATGCATTATCAAGTCAACAAGACCCTTAATACCCATAGTCCATTGATAAGCTACACATATATATATAACCACTTCCTCTCATGCCATAAAAGTCCTTTAAAGAACACAAAATATCAGTATTTTTTCAAGTCTATCTCTAGACACTGAGCAGTATTATCACTCTAGAATGTAAAATCAAGAACCCAAATTGTAGTTTAAGTGGAAACAAAAACGAATGTAAATTTAAACGTTATGAGTTTAAATCTTAGCAATTCTCTAAGTTCAAACTATAAATGATTTATTTTTCATGAATACCCTAGTTCAGGTGTGGATAACCCTATTTTTTATTAGACCGGGGAGGAGATTAGTCGAGGTATGCGTAAATTCACTCAGATATTCCTTATCAATGAATAAAAAAAAATGATGTAAAATCAGGCGACGAACTAAGAAGGCATGTAAGAGCCTGTGCTGGGCTGATCAATAACTGGATTCAACTCGTAGTTGTTAATTCCTTCTAAACTATATTACTTTAAAATGTCAACAAAAGTAAAAAAAAATTGTTTGATTATTTTACCCTTGATCTTTGTTATAAAGTCAATTATATCATCTCATTTTTTTTAATTTTTTTAAATTAATTACATAATCTTCTCGTATCCTTTCATCTTCTTAAATTAATTATGTGCATAAATTTAACATTTAATTATATTCATTTGAGTTTTAACAATTAATTTTAACTTTTAATTTTCATTTTTCTTAACCAATCTTATCTTACTTATACTACTAATATATTTCATAATTTACATCTATATCTATACTATTAAAAGTCTCTTAACCCAAAGAATTTGTAATTTTTTTTAATCCTCCATCTATACTATAATCACCATAAAGCCAATTTGTATCTATATCTATATCTATACCTATATCTTACGTTGTTTAAATGCTTCTAATTCTATTAAATTTATCTTTCATCATAATTATTGTAACTTGATGGTAATAAATATCGATTTAATTTAGTATGAGTTTTTCATATTCTTATTCTTTCACAAAGACAATGTTATACAGTGAATACATGGGGAATCAATTCAAGCTGTCATTATTCCATACTTCAATCGAACAGTTTCTACCTATCGATCTCCCTTTCTTTCTCTACCTTTGACTCTCATTGTCAGGGTCTGTCTACATTGCTAAACAAGGGAAAAAATCTAGAAATTTTTACCTACAACATTGAATCACTATCACTGACGAAGCAATGAGTCATGTTTTTCAGTCTGCAACAAATAAGATCGAACCAAAAAGAATCAAACATCAGACTCATCTGGGTTACAATGCTTCATGTTGGTGTGTCTCATTCAATGTATGCTATTGATTTTCTTTTTAAAAATGTTCTTTAGTTGTTTTTTGTCTTTCCAAGTCGTTTTCTTGTGTTGGCGTTTGGTTCTGACAAGACTCTGTTGTGGTTATCTATTTTTGACTAGGGTTTTGAATAGATTGTTTGGATAGTGCTTAGTTTTTGTTTTAACAATTTGGGTCTCTCGACCAAAAAAAATAATAATAATATGGGTCCAAGTAGACAACTTTTCTTTAACGGGCTTGTCTCTTTTATTGTTTTAGTTGTTGATCTTTTTGACAAATTTTTATTGAGCTTGGTGTTTGATTTAGCAATTTTTTTGAAATTGTAGAATTAAGATTTGATTGAAATTCTTGTTTTTCGATGTGTTTTTGATTTTTTGAATTATTGTTGACCTTATACGCAATTAATACTTCAGTCAGTAAACCATAGAGGAAAAAATTTATAATTTCCCTTTCAATTCTAAAAATTAGATTCATATTAAGGGAATCATGGTAGAAATGACATTAAGACCCAAGTTTTAGACCTTATAGTCAAGTTGAATTAATAATATCAGCGAGCTTTTTTATCTCGACGGTACGAGTTTTACTATTTCTTGTGCTATTTTACCAAAATTTCCATTACTTGCACAAAGCAATATCAAAGTTAGTGAAGATTGAGGTAGGATGAGAGCTGATCTAAACTCGAAAAAATCAACCAGAAAAAAATTTAGTAAAGTTGTGTTAATTCATATCAAACATGTGTTTTTCGAAGTGAATAGAAAAGATTCATCTTTAAAATAATTCAGCTATCACATAGTAATTTCTTAATAAGCAATTTCTACAAGCTACGTGAGCAAAAGTCCCACAAGGTAGAAGTGGTACAAGACTGATGTAATGGAGGTGGTTGGCAAATGACAGAATTTCACCTTCATATGATGGTTCCCTTGTCGTGAATGGCTTCACTTGGAAAAATCCCAAGGTTAGATAATTTAGCCCATGGTTGAATGGAACATTGGTCTTTCAAGTGTAAAAGAGTGAATAAAGTGATTGAGACATCTTTTACATTATTGATGAGCATTATTAGAATTGTGGCTTTCATTATTGATTCTTTTTAAAATGCAGTTGTGTTTTTTACGATTAATGTTGGAGTGGTGGCAAAAAAAAATGGGTAGGAATGACTCATTGAATGCAATACCACAAAAGAAATATAATTCTTGTTCATTTTTTGGGGGCATATGGAGTATCCAGTCTTAGTTGAAGGATGTGCTATTGAGCTCTTTGTTTCATTCGACTTCATGACAGAGTTTATCTCCCTCAACTTTGTTTGTTTTATTTGTAGACAGTTGTATATATCCCTTTTTTTTTTGTTCTCTACCCATTCCTTTATTTTTCTTGTTATTATACTATAGTTGTTGGACTACTATTTGGATTGTGCCCCCTTTGGAGTTTCCATCCCACTGACTATAGGTATGAGCTTTTTTCTTGTTACATCTATATATTTCTATTGTTTTCAAAAAGGGTGGCATTTTTCTCAATGACTATTTGGTGATTCAAATATTACAATTTAAGATGTCTGAGCATTGCATGTGGTGATTTTTGTTTCTTTATCAAAGTAAAATTAAATTTGTAGCTGAATTTTTTATAGGTTGTATGTTCTTTCGGGACAGGTGAAGTTCAGGGAGTTTTAAGGCTACTTAATAGAAGCTGATTCTTATAATGTAATAGGATGGGTGAAAAGTAGTCTCTTTCAATCATGTGACTGTTTCAATCTTGTGACTCTTTTGAATTTGAAATGCATATTTGCATATGATTGTTGCTTTGACTCCTACTCGACTAGCAATGTTTTGGCATTAAACCCTGTCACAAAAGATGATAACAATTGAGCAAAATATGGGGAAGTATATGAATACAAATTTATGCTGTTATAATACAATAGTTCCAATATTACCTGTAATTTTCTTAAATTACCTCAACATATGCTTTTAGACAGTTAGATTTACATATGCTGTAGAATTTCTTGAATCTCTTTTTGCTTGAGACATGATTGTCTCACAAACGTACTGACACATTTACCTTTCTTGCATAATACGTATCAAGAATAGATGATGATACAATTGATTTGGAACAACTAAAAGAGGACACATATGACATTGTCCTTCAAACAAACGGTCACTCTATGAGATCTTTGAGTAACGTGTCAAGAACGGGGGATGGTCTACATAGAATAAAAGCATGGTTACTTGCCTTCTCTAAGCATATATAGAATATTTATTTTAATGTTCACTACAACAAATTTATTTTTTAGCGACGAATTTTGACGACGAACAATAAAATTTGTTGTTAAAAAGTGATTTTCGGTGACAATTTCAAATGTTTCTCGCGATAAACTTTTTTATGATATTTTTGGTAATCATTTTTTGTAGTTGTCGCCAATAATCTTCGCAAAAACTTTCCCTCCAAAAATAATTTGGCACCAATGTTGGCGCTAAATGCTAATATTACGGACGACAAAAAAATTTGTTGCCAAAATAATTTTTTAGTTGCAAATTTTTTGTCAAATAACAAAAAATAAAAAAACAAAAATAATAATACTTAGCGACAATACATGTTTGTTGTAGAAAAAAAAGTTAAAATTATTTTTGTTTGGCGACAAATGATAATTGGTCACAAAATAGCATTACAAGAAAAACGTTTTTCTGCAACAATTTTTAGCGATGTGTAAGAAAAATTGTCGCAAAAAAAAAATATTCTACAACAAATATTACGTTTCATCGTCAAAAAGTATTAAACAAAATTTTGGCGATAATTATTTATACTTGTCGTTACAAGAATAAGGGCATTTTGTGACAAATTTTTTACAGCGGTTGTATTCACCGTCACAAAAGACATTTTGAGACAATTTTTTGTGACGGTTGTGTTTGCAGTTACAAAAAATGTGTCTGTATCAATATTTTGTTAATATTTGTGGCAGTTATTGTTCTTGCCGTAAATAGTGTCATAACTCAAAAGAAATTTTTATATTTCAAACAGTTGTTTTTTCTGCTGCAAAAAATATTTCATAAACTAAAAAGAATTTTTTGTATTTGTGGCAACTATTTTTCCCGTCGCATATAATATTTTATAAAACATTAAAATGGTGTTTTAGATTAAAAAATTGTTTATTGTTTAAAGAAGAAAAATTCTAAAAAAAATTGTATTGGCCACAATTATTTTTCATGTTACAATATATTTTATTAAATTACGTTGTGTTACATCAAAAGACGATTTTTAGTTCAAAGGAAAAAAAAATTAAACTCTACAAAGTCAATTTTTTATATCATAACTAAATGTGTCAAAATATAACACGACACAAAATTAGTGGGTTTGAATAT